TTGATCAAACATTAATGATTCAAAAACTTTTGAGAAGACAGGAAGTAAAGATATTGGTCGATAATTATTTATATCATTAAGATCACCTTGTTTATGTAGGGGAATGACCGAGACAATCTTTAAGCAATCCGGAAAATTAGAACTATCAATGCATTTGTTAATTAATTTAGTTGGTGGTGGAATTAGTATGTCCTTAACTGATTTGATGACAGATACATTTAACCCATATATATCCTTACTTTTTTTATTTTTTAATTTATTAATTACATCACGGACTTTTATTTCGCTTACTGTTTCAAATGAAAAAAAAATGTTTGAAGCATTGACTAATGAACACATACGATTAATAGTATCTACATTAGGATTAGGCAAGGAGTTTACAATGTCTTTCGCAATATTTACAAAAAATGTATTATACTCAGATGGCGTTATCTTGGATATTTCATGAATCTTACGTTGTTTGTTTCTATTTATAAGGGACCACATTGCTTTTGTATTGTTACAATTATTTCTAATAAAATTATCATTAGCATTAGTTCTAGCTTGCTTGATAGCAGCATCGTATTGACGTCTGTAGTTATTATATACATTTTTTAGATGCAATGTTCCGTATGTCTTGTGCAAATCATATAAAAAATGAAGTGTTTCTCTCATCTTTTCTAACTCAGGGATAAACTAGTCTATATTATGAACTTTGCATCTATTACACATTATTTTCTTTTTAGGAAAGGCTAAATTGAAGTTGTTTAAAACTATGTCTAAAAACATGTCAAACAAGACATTTACATCAAGATTTAATGTGATAAAATTCCAATCAATATGATACAGTAAGTTAAAAAAATCATTTTTTCCTCGTTGAGTTATTGGCTGAACAAATTTAAATGCATACGAGTCATCATGAGCTTTTTCTATAAGACATATTTTTACAGAGATAGCTGTATGATCAGACTTAGAAATATTAATAGGTGTAACAGTTAATAAGTTGACATTTATATTAGTGAATACATTATCAATGGTATTATTCATGTGTGTTTTGAAATTAACTAGTGGATGGAAACCGTAACTTTTTAACAAATCAGAAAAATATAACATATTAGTATCAGAAGTACCAAAATGTAAATTAAAGTCTCCTATATTACATACTTAGATTTAAAATCAATTATTGTAAATAGCTTAACTATAGTATTAATAAAATTGTTAAAATTACCTTTAGGCGAACGGTATAAAGTTATTATTATTAAATTAAATTCTTTACTAAAAAGACCACATATTTCACAATCAACTTCAGATGATAACATAGGGGCCAATTCCAAGTTGGTGGCGCAAGTCACTGGTGCAGCGCAACTTTATAATGCTAATTTGGGTATCAAATGCTGGTTGCTAGGGGTGACGGAATCAACAAACGCAGTTTTGTCGAATTTTCCATTGAAATTTGCACCATGGAGTTGCGGCACCTCTAGTAGGCAGTGCACGTTGGCGCAATTTATCTCGAAAAATTGCGCTTGTTTATTCCGTCACCCCTAGCAACCAGCATTTGATACCCAAATTAGCATTATAAAGTTGCGCTGCACCAGTGACTTGCGCCACCAACTTGGAATTGGCCCCTTAGAGATATTTTTTAAATTACGCCAACGCAAATGCTGATTCAGAAGAGTCATCACACCACCCTGTTTTTGAAGTGATCTTGAATATTCAGATCTTACACAGTAATTATTTAAAGACAATGCACTACACTCCACAGAATTTAACCAGTGTTCCACAATGCAGAGACCATCAAAATTTTTGTCAACTAGAAAACCTTCTAAAAAGTTTATTTTGTTGCGCAGACATTGTGCATTCCAGAAAAAAAGAGATACTTATTTGTCACTATTGTTTGGCTCTGATTGCTATATCTGATAAGATAACATATATTTTGTTTAGCTAAGTTTATTTGCTTTTTATACACCGAACAAGTAAAGTCAAACCTTGAATGATTAATGTCGAGTTGTGCAGCTGGATTAACCCGATTTTCTTTAATGCAGTTTATACAACATTCATCTTCTTTCGTACAAACATTTGTAGCATGGTCTTCTCCGCATTTTAGACACTCAATTTTTTCATGACAATTTTTACTTACGTGATTGAAGCCACCACAGTCATAGCACCTCAACACATTGACGTATTCAAATACTCTACATGTATCCCATTGTTATTTTATAACAGAAATATTACTTGCGCCTAGATTTTGCTTAATAACACATTTTTTCAGATCGTCTTCACTAATGGGGTTCTCAAGGTCTAACATTTTTATTCTTGGATTTCGAAGCCCAGATTTTCGAACAGTAAAAGTGTTGTTTAGTTTACATGTAATTAAGGTTAAGGTTACAACTTAAACCAGATCTTTTCACTTAAATACTACTTTACTCAAGCCAGATCAACAAGTTCTTAACTATGTTGTGATTACAAATTGTACCGACACGGGCACTGTTAACTATCGACGTTTAATAATAACACTTTTATAATAAGTAGTTTTAAACAGCACCAGCTCTTATTTGCATCAGCTCTCAACATCTTCTCGACAATGGACCCAGTAAAATCTCTCCCTAACTTTAGCAAGCGTTTTGTTGATTCCAAAATGAGCACCAGAACCATCATTGTGCATTTCTCGAAGTACTTCCTTGGTTCTAATCGCCGGAACAACCAACTGCATGGTGATATGTTTCCCAGTCCGCATTATTGTGGAGCTTACCAGCCCTGTGTCGAATTTTGAAGTGATACTGTTGGAGTCGTTCAAGCCATCTAGCTACTTGTCCTTCGGGATTCTTCAGCTGAAGGAGCCATGTGAGGACTGCGTGATCGGTTCTAATAAGGAATTCGCGTCCATAGAGATACCTATGGAAATGTTCGACAGCCCTGACAATCGCCACCAACGCCTTCCTCGTAGCACAGTAGTTCTTATCGGGTTTCGAAAGTACGCTGCTGAAGTACTCGATGACTTTTTCTTCCTTGTCCTGCATCTGTGAGAATACAGCACCTATTCCGATGTTGCTCGCGTCCGTGTCCAAGATGAACATTCCCGATGATCGCGGATAGGACAGAATAGGACTAGAGCATAGTGCGTTCTTCAATCTCTTAAAGACTGCTTCACATTCAGCAGTCCAACTGAACTGAGACTTCAAATCCGTCAGCAGGTGCAGATAAGCAGCAATGTCAGCAAACCCGTTGACAAATCTTCTGCAGTACGCGCACAATTCCAAGAAACTCCGGACTTCGTGTTTATCTCTTGGTCTTGGCCAATCACGAATCGCCTTGATCTTCGTTTCCGTAGTCTTAATTCCGTTTGACGAAACAGTATGCCCCAGAAATTCTACTTCTTTTTGGGAGAGGAGACACTTCTTCGGATTCAACTTCAAATTTGCCTCCTTCATTGGGCTAAATACTTCTTCTAAGTTGGTCAAGTCTTCCTCAAATGTTTCTCCCATTACCATGATGTCGTCTAAATAAACCAAACGTGTTTTCCATGTTAACCCTCGTAATACCATCTCCATCGGTCTTTCAAAAGTAGCCGGAGCGTTACATAGTCCAAAAGGCATTATGGTAAATTGATACAAGCCACTGCCGGCAGAAAAAGCGGTCTTTTCCTTATCTTCTGGATGGATACCAACTTGCCAGTAGCCGCTTTTTAGGTCTAACGTGGAAAACCAGGCGGATCGTGATAGTGTTGTGAGCGTGTCATCAATTCGCGAAAGCGGGTAACGGTCCTTCTTGGTTACATCGTTTAGTTTCCTGTAGTCTACGCAGAATCTCGTCGACCCATCTTTTTTGGTGACTAGCACTGCAGGTGAAGACCATGGACTGTTTGATTCCTCTATTACGCCGTCATGCAGCATTTTCCGTAAGTGATTGCTGCGGGAGTTCCATTAATCTTCCCCGGTTTAGTTGAACTACTGCCTCTGATGAAACTTCTTATCTTCACTTCCTTGGGGGCCTTATTCACACCAGCCAGCACATCCCCCAAACTACTGGATGTTTTTAGTCTTCCTGCAGACTTCTTTGACGAGATCTCTGTCGTATGCTTCTGCTCGGAGCTGGTGATCGAGCACGACAATCGCGTTTGAGATGTCCCTGGCGCCCACATCTATAGCATTCTAGGTTTCTCTCCCGAGACACACCATTCTCTAATCCTTGAGATAGCCCATCTATTATGCGCTGCGAGAATTTTTCCGAGAATTTTTCCAACAACTTTTCTACCTTGTCGTTGTACTCTGTTTCCAATTCTGCCACTCTGATCTTGTGCCAGGTTCTTGAAGAATTGTACGCCGCCTCCACTTCCAGCGCACGAATCAAGGTCTCCGATGATGTCTGGTACCTTGATAGTTGTTAACTTTACCGTCGCGAATGCCATTTACGAAAGTTTCTATTGCAAGCGTCTCCTGAAAAGTTGATGGTGCGTTGGTGTATGCAAGACGTACTAGTTTCTTGACATCTGCTTCAAATTCCTGAAAGGATTCTCCAACTTTCTGGGTTCTTGTCTTCACTTGAGCTGCAAAAACCTGTCTCAGATGTTCATCCCCAAATTGAAGTTCTAGGGCAGCAGTTAGGGCACTGTATCTGTTTCTATCTTTTTTGGATAGAGTTTGCAGTATCTCCAGCGCTGCGCCTCGCAAAGCTGTTCTTCTTCTCAAAGGTTCGTAGTCGCTGCTGCCTCAAACTGCTCTTTATACGATGAACAAGGTGTCTGACCATCATAGGTGGGTAGTTGAATCGTTCTGGGGACCGACGCCACATAACATGAACCAGTGGTTGCTGCATTTTTTATTGTCTTTTCAAATTTCTTCATTCGATCTTCTATGCATTCATGCACTGATTTTTCTAACTCACTCTTCAAGTGATGCTCCATTGCCATCATATTTCGTCCGACAGTATTTTCCATATTTTCCAGATTTGTTTTTACGTCCTAAATTTCTTCTCTGATTTCTTCTATCTCATTCTTGTTTGCGTCCACTTCCTTTTGGAATTTTTCAGTTAGGCTGATTTACTTCCATCATTTTCATTTTGTCGTTCACTTCTTCTATTGTTGCATTCATTTTCTCACCTCTTGCGTCCATCTTTCCGTTCATTTCTTCTGTTGTTGCGCTCATTTTTTCATCCATTCCTTTATTTCTTGGGTCCATCTTTGCGTCTATCTTTTCCATTCTTGAGTCCATTTTCTCGTCCATTTCTTTGTTTATTGCATCCATTTCCGCATCCATTGTTTCCATTCTTGCGCCCATCTCCTCTTTCATTTCTTTCCCCATTTTTTCCATTCTTGCGTCCATTTTCTCGTCCATTTTCTCCATTTTCGCGTCTATTTTCTCATCCATTTTTGCCAGCATAGCCATGATCTTTTCCTCCATTTTCGCGGCCTAAGCTCTAGTCTCGATAGGCATAAATTCTTCAGAATTACAGATCTCACTTCCGACCAGTGTTACGTTCCACGGGCGAATAATTAATCGGGCGGAGGTAAAACTCAACAATTTATTTCTTAATAACTGGTATTTACACGACTATTGCAACGATTATTATGTACAGAAATTATTCCGGCAAATTTCACTGGACGCTCTTGACGGACTCCACTAGGTGAATAATCCCTTCCCGATGGTCGCCTCTATTTTAAACCCATACTTCCACGATCGAGATCTTTCTCGAGTATCCATCGCTTCGAGACTTCCGGTAACCGGCTTCAGATCCCGCCGCTCGGCCGTCGATGAGTCACCGTTCATCGACACACATACTAGAAAAACTCATAGGCGTCGCATCGGGGCGGTTATGGGTTTATTTCGTAACAGCACTATAAATTTTGCCAGTCAAAGCGAAGAAAAACCTGTGCACTGTGTGAAACAACCCTTTATTTTACAGTAATTGTTTTTGGGGTACGTTAGGCAACTGTTTTACGAGACAAAAATTCAACATTATTAATAAGTGAACTAAACTGCTCACACGTGACGTAATGTAATGTGACTGTGGTTACTATACTGCTAACTAATACATCTAATGTGTAAAAGCTGCTACTCTAAGATAAAACGTCGTATACTATATGTGAGCGAAATGCATTATAAACTCGCGCCAAAAAGCTGGTGACCCTACATTGTCACTCGCTTATGATACAGCATTTCTCTCACTTATAACATAAAATACTTTTTTTCTCCGTTCATATTTTATTTAAATTTAAAAGTTAAATATACGATAGGATACCACATATTTGTTACGCCAACTGCCATTAAGCACAATCTATGAGCTGTATATCTTTAAGGTGTAAAATTTGGAAAAAAAAGATATAAAAAAACGTAATTCAAAAGTTACGGTATGAACAATATATCACATATGCACAAATTATTTCAAAAGTGTATGAGTACAAGGTCAACTTTGCGTTATAATGTCTATCGGGTACTTACATATTTTGAAATTTTCATTTAAATGAAGGGATAAAAGCTAAATTCATGTAGATATATTTTATGTTAGCGGTGAGAAGCTACAAGGTTATGATTTACCACGATATCAGCACCTATATAAGGAGGTTTGGCCTGGTTATTTTCCAAAAAGTATTGATCTCCGTCAAAATGAAAATCTTCGTTATTGTCTACGCAGCACTAGTGGCAAGCCTGTTGGTAAGTAGTTTTAAAACACGCCATTAACGAAAAACAATTGTAAATTTTTAACACGAATAGCCTGTGTTTAAAATTTTTCAAAATTACATCTCGAAGAGTGAATTTTTTAGTGCAAGAACTGTCTCGAAAAAGTGCCCCACATCATACTAATTAATTGACGGCACTATTTACTTTTGACTGTTTGTTGTTATTTTGTCAATAGCTACATTTATTATGATATATCTTTTAGATTTCCACGGCTATGGCTTCGGAAGAGAGAAGAAGATACTGAGACATTCAGATGAGTACAGCTTACGAATAATCACTTTATTGTAATTATAAAGAATTGTTATTTGACGAATGACGGTACCATGTACTTAAAAATAAAGACATCTTTATTCTGATATTTGCAGTTATTTCATGTACTGAGTGTTAAAAATGAGTTTTTTTGGGCGTTGTTCCTATTATGCATATTCTTGTGGTACCCGTATGAGGTTTAGATCCATATATATTTTTTTAAAGTGATGTAAGTTTGCGCATCTGTTAACTACAAATAAGAAACATTAAGCAGATTATTACTCTGTTATATGTTGGTTGTAAAATTTTAAGTTTACTTATATTGTACAGAAGAATAATTTAAAAACACAAACGAAACAGGAAGAAATAAAAAAAAACAATTATATAATACAATAAATCAAGGCAAATAGGGGGGGAAGGGAGGTGAAGGTTTCGTTTGTGTGTTTACACTGAGAAAGGTTTTATGTAAAACTGCAACAATTAATTGTATTTGTACCATCTTTACTACGAGTATCATGGGAAATTTAACATTTATTTTAATAAACTAAGCCATGCCTCTCAGTAATTTTGGTTTTTACTTACTCTCTCCTCTTCGAGTTGCTTCATCATGTATGTCTGAAAACATTTCCTTGTCTTTGCTTATTTAGCGCTTTGGTGTAATGCGCATGGGTGTACCTACTTGTCGGTTAAGGTTTGCTACATCTAAAAAATTGTTGAATGAACTTCAATGGCAAGTTAACCCTATTATATCAATCCTTGCGATAGAAATGATGGCAATAAATGTGCACATCGTCCTAATGGAACTACGTGCACTGTGAGTTAATATACGACGACACGATCAATTCAATTCATCATAGAAACTTGATTAACTCTCTTAATGTTAAGTCGCTTGATGTAGTTAGTATTATCGCATGCAGAATTCTTCTGACGTAAGAGGAATTCAAATCTAAAGCTTGGAGTTGCAATTTTGTATAAATATAGTCGCGTGCGACACCTACAGGACCGGCAATTTACACAAGATAAAGGGCTACGAAGCGAGGCTCTGCTGACTAAATTGCCGGATACACAAAGACACAGCTTATTATGATGTCACGCACATCTCGCAAGGACACACATTTCACGTCAATTGCATTTTTAAATGAATATGACGACATTTTCCACCCACCTATCCGCCTGTTTTCCGCTTTCAAATAATTTCTGCTTATCTAAAATTAAGGTACAACAACAATTACACCTCCTTTGTTCGTGGTTCCTTGTTTCCATTCTTGGGGGTAAAACTGATTCGTGCTTGCGATTTCACTAATGAATAATAAATATCAAATGATAATATGTTGTATAAAACAGGTGAAAATCTATTGCAGAGTAAAAATATATTTAATTTCGTGTAACATAAATCTTGTTGTAGGTAACTAAAGCATAATATTATTCCTGGAGAGGAATATGTTTCTGTTCATTCGTAACTGGAAACAAGGTTGTTAACTCACTCAACAGACAAGTTGTTTTAATTATGTTGACGATTTATCATTAAAATTATTTTTGCAAAGTGTGTAAATATTTAGTTTTTTTTTCTAAAACACCTTTGTGGTTTAATTTCAAAACAAGGAAGAAAAACATGTACTTTATGTGTTAAAGGCTATGCTTGCCTGTAAAAAATTGTCACAGTAACGCCGTAAAAATATTCTCTGTGTCCCTTACCGACAGATGGTAAAAAAATTAAAATTATCAGTCCCTTCACCTCCAAAATGCAACCGTTACCGTGCGAATTTCGAGGAATATTTGAATAACATTTATTTGAGAATTTTTTAGCTGAGACCAAAAATTTAAGGAGAGGGAAACTTAATTCTTTATCATTATTTTCTGTAATACTAAATGTCTAAGATGTGATAAAACTATCAATTTTTGGAGGGCAAACGGTTCACCACACTAGAAACACAGAAAATATTTGTTGACGCGTTTCGCCAACCAAGTTGGCATTGCGTAGTCAATACTAAAATGAATTTTCCAGAGGGGAATATTTCTTTAACTCTTAGGAGGTTGAGGAATTTTATGGCACCGTGATAACTATCCTGCTCTGACTTTATTAAACGTAAACATTTTTCCGTAAATATTTTTTTTATTTATAAAATTTTATGATAAGGCAACACGAAATATGTTGTATGTTACTCGTAAAAAAACGAGCATAGTGTAACTAACTTCCATGCAACACTCGAGCTACGCTTTCGTGTCGCATAAGGTTCCTTACGCAATGCTCGTTTTTCAACACTCGTTACATAAACTACTATTAAATTTCTTATATTATTGGTGAATAATATATACTCATTGACTTTTTGAAAATATAATCATAATGAGATCTAAAGGACAATTTTGAATCAAACACCACACCGAGGTCTTTTATTTCATTTACTACCTTCAAGACACTGTCATTTATTTTATAAATATGTTGGCATAAATTTTTCACGTTACAGAATGTTATAACACAACAATTATCTGTATTTAAAAACAACTGATTCCGATCACACCAGTCATATAATCTATTTAAATTGTTTTAATGAGTTTAAAAATTTTCAAGTCATCGGCGTAAAGTAGAAAATTAGAATACTTGAAAGAAAACTGTAGATCATTGACAAACAGCAAAAATAATATTGGACCAGAGTGTGATCCCTGAGGTACACCAGAAGTGACTTCAAAACTACGGGATATAAAATTGCCAGTTCTGACTTGTTGACATCTGCCCGATAAAAACGAAAACAATCAGTCTATGGTGGAACTGTTAAACCCTAGTTGGCTTAGTTTAGAGATCAGAATGTTATGACTGACCCTATCAAAGGCTTTTACGAAGTCGGTGTAAATAGCGACCTATCTTGAAATGCACTATTAAGAAACACGTAGTAAGACAATAAGTTTGTAAGAGAAGATTTACCTTTGCAAAACCCATGTTGATGAGGAGATAAAATCGTTGAAGAAGACCACTGTAGTTGTTTCGAATAATGTTACCTAAAATTTTTGGGATCACTGATTGGTTGCTCACCCTTCTATAGTATTATTATATAGCAACTACACTTCCAAATATCAGGAACTTTGAATTCCATGAGAGATGATTCAAACAATAGGAACAATGGAACAGCCAAAGTACAAATGCAGTTTTTTATAAGCATACTTGGAACACTGTCGGGGCCACAGGAATAAGAAGATTTAAGATTGCTAATATTTTGAAAAACATCCAATAATGTTACCTTTAATCCATTATCAAGGACTTTTAAATTAAGTGAATTGTTATTTTCTAAATTTGTTGTGGGATCAGTAACATAGACTGTAGAAAACTATTCCGCAAACAGATTGGAAATATCTGCTCCATTGTCCGTTTTCTTATCTTTAAATGACATGTAATTAGGAACCCCATTATCATTGCTCTTATCACGAATATATTTCCAAAAATAATTTGGGTTATATATAACGCTAACATCAACTTGGGT